CCCAAGTCAGAACCATAAGCCCCCGAAGCCCATTGGAGCATCCCCACCCCGAAACCGCAAGCCACAACCTCTCCCAAAACACCCGGGCCCTGAAACCTCAAACCCATCGAACCACCCCCAGAACCTCCAGGAGCTCTTCAATCCAGTCGCCGCTCCAAGAGGTCCAGGCATCCGCAGACTCCAAGCCTCCGGAGTTCTGTGTTTGCGAACGGCTGTGGGCAAGGATAAGTGGAGAATGCCAAACGGAGCGCGAAAAGTCGAAAAGTGGCAACAAAATAAAGATTTTGCGCGAAAAACCGAAAAGTCGAAAAGCCGCGAAAAGTACAGCAAAACGCGAAAAGTCGAAAAGTACAGCAAAACGCGAAAAGTCGAAAAGTCAANNCAAGAAAGTCGAACAGTCACCGCAGCGGAAGCCGAAAAAACAACTATCGGCACGCATGTGAAGCATCTTGGCACAGCTTTGGTTCGCAGAGAGCAAAGGCAGATCTAGGATAATGTTAAGGATTTCAGGACTGGGGGAAGAGTTCTGGCCTTGGGGCCTATTAAGATTGAGACCCTGCCAAATCAAAGCACCGGAAAGGATGTCCGTCTTCACTACGTGTGCGAGGTGTCCATGGCACCGGGAAGTTGATGTGGAAGGTTATACAAAACACGTAAACATTTGCATATACTATGTGTGGGTAAGCAAAAATGGTATATGTACATGCATATGTAGATACATGTATCTGAACTAAAGGTATGTATACATGTATGAATATGTAAATTCATTAATTAATTAATTCATTAGTTAATTAATTAATTAATTAATTAACTAATTAATTACTTAATTAATTAGTTAATTAATTAATTAATTAACTAACTAATTAATTAATTAATATTAATATTAATTAATTAACTAAATAATTAATTAACTAATTAATTAATTAACTAATTAATTAAATAAGTGTTAAACCCTAAACTCCCAGCCCAGAGAACGCATCAACGCATGTAGCGACATTTATAAATGCTTCAAAAACAACCAGGGCTAATACAAATATAATTAACTAACTGTTTTAATCCTCGCAGCAAAGGCCACTCTAACCCCCAAACCCCAAACCCTCAACCCTTAACCCCGAAACCGTAAACCCCTTTCGGATTCCTGGACGGAAGCTTGAACCCTCGAAGCACCCCTTTAAGGAAAAGGCCAAACTTGAGATCTTAGGAGGTCGTAAGTTTAGGGTTTTGGGGATGTTGTTTTTGTTATTAGGAAGCCCTCCGACCCCCATCGTTGAAGACCTTTGAAGAGCTACACAAAGTCACTGACACGAACAAACCCCATAAGCTCGTTTCAAAACCCAAGCTCGGGTAAAATTAGCCAAAGCCTATAAGGCCCTTTCAAGCGCCAAACGCTGAAGCGGTTGTTTTGCTTAGTGGTGCGCCCGGCTTAACGACTTCGTTAGATGGCTGATAAAACCGATGTAGGCTAAGTGTAGGCATGCTTGATCTAAGCGCTACAATGACATTGTGACTGCCGCACAGCAGGCCTGACTCAAAATGAACCCTTTGACAGTCAATGCCCCAGCGACACGGGTCGGCTGTTTTGCTTAGTGGTGCGTCTGGCTTAGGGCAGGAGAAGAACCCACCGTCGGCCAAAGCAGGAAGGCCCGAACGAGCTACAACTGCGACACTCGAAACGATGACTGACTCTAAGAACGATCGTGTGACTATCGAGTCAGCTAGTGCCCAATCAAAAACTTGTACAACCAAAAAACCTGAGAAGGCGAGAAAATAGACGAAAGTCCAAAAACGCGAAAAACCCGAAACGAACAGCCGAACCCGAAAAGTCGAAAAACACGTAAAGTCCCACAAGTGCAAAAAAAAGTCGACAAGGGTAACAGTCCGAAAACTACCAGAAAACGCGAAAAGTCGAAACGTCAAAACGTCCAAAGCCCAAAAAGTCCGAAACGCGCAAGAAAACCCGAATAGTCGATCCGAAAAGTGACAGAAAACCCGAAAAGTCGAAAAGCCCAACAAGTCCGCAAAGTGCAGGAAAAACCGAAAAGTCGAACAATCGAAGGGCCGAAAAGCCCACGGAGTCCGAAAAGTGCCCCAAAACCCGAAAAGTCAAAAAGTAGAAAAGCCCAAAAAGTCCGAAAAGTGCCAGAAAACTCGAAAAGTCGAAAAGCCAAAAAATCCGAAAAGTGCAAGAAAATCCGAAAAGTCGAAAACTTTTCGACTTTTTGACTTTTCGACTTTTCGAATTTCGTTTCGGTTCTCCGCTTATGGAAACCAACGCCTGCTTGCGTACTTAGCGATAGTTTAAGCCTAGGCGTTTTATTGAGATTTTCGGGATGTGGTGTTTCTAGTTTTTTGGGTGAACAGGTTAGGTGTCTTCAGGGCTTGGAGTTTGGGGTTTGTGTGGGTTTGCCGGTGTCCGGCCTAGGGCTATGAAGATTTAAGGTTATGGGACCTGGACTCGATCGACCGTGAAGTTCGTAGCTATAAGCAGATGCTGACTGCGATCTGATGGTGCGTGGGCGATGCTGTGGTCATGACAAATGATGGGGCAGAGCAGCACGAACAAACAGCAAACAACTGAATCACAACTCGCAATAAATTATTGCCACAACCAGAGGCAACCAGTGGTGGCACCCTCTCCGTTCCTGCAGGGCAGAAGGGGGAACGGCTGTAAGAGCATACGAAACCAGTACCACTAGTAGTATAATATAGTAATTAGGATGCATAGTTGCAGTCCTCACTCGTCGCTTCGTCGTTGTTTAGCAGCAGCAGTGGCCGCTTTCCTTAAAGCAGCAGAGTCAAGTTCGACACACCACAGCCAGACTTGGAGTCGCGCTGGAGGTGGCCACGGCGCGCACTGACCAGCGGTTGGATCATGCCCTTTGGCTGCGAGCACTGTGAGCTTCATAGCCAGCCCACGTGTGTGAGAACCGCTGCTGACAATGTGCCGTTGTTGTTGCCGTTGCCCTGGCTTTTGTTTTTGCTTTTCTCTTCGTCGCAGGTGTAGATGTTGTCGCAGCTGTGGATGTGATAGTGGGAGTGGTTCAGTGGTCCTGGTGGTCGTGGCAGTGTTGTGGTGACAGTTGTCTGGAAGTTGTTTTAGGAGTTCCGCCAGTGCCAACACGCTGTAGATCTACAGGCGGTGAGGATGCTAATATTTACCATTCCCCGACAGCCATATAGTAGTTTAGAGCGGTGATTCTCATCCCGTCATGCATCGATGCGCAGACGGCATCTCCACGTGTAGGTGTTTGTGTGTATCTCATTGCAGCTTTCTGTAAAGGGGTCCTCCCGCAGCGTGTGCTGTTGGGATGACCTTCGTCCTGCATGTTGGGTCGTCGTATGGAGATGAAGACAAGAAGAGGCCACGCTGGCATTCCGACAGAATCTGACTCCTTGCGGCTTCCTTTGGTGCCTGCGCTGCCTCATGTGTGTGATAGTTGCAAGGATCCAAGCAAGTATGACGTTCTGAAACTGTCCGGAACTGGGCCAGGCACTGAAAACCTCCGAGCATCTGCAGTACCTGGTGGCAGGAATCCGGCGAGAGGCGGCAACATGGGGGCATGGGTGTCATATAGGGAAGGTGGTGGGGAGTCGGCTAGAGGTCTTCTAGTTTGTGGGCTGTGGTGTGGCTTTAATATTAGCTTCAACGGAGAAGGGTAATAAGGTGTGGGTCTTTAGTTCACGATGGTCTGCAATGCTTAATGCTTGTGGCTGCCTGCTGTGGTTATCGGAGGAAGAGCAAGACCGGCCCTCAAGAGGTGCCAACTCTCAAGCCACTGGCTTGAATCGTGATGCCTCTGATTATGGTCATGATCATGATCATGATGACATTGATGATGGCGCGATTAATGCTGATCTCCACTTATGATGCTCGTGGCGACTGATGGTGATAAGCACTTCCGCGATGCAAGTCGTTTCTTAGAAGCACAGCTGCTACCACTTTGTTTGAAGCGGAAATGACGAGCTGCTGCAAAGTTGGGGTAGTGACCACCACCACGGGAACTGCTGCATGAAGGACAGCGACTTTTAGCAATATCGTGCAAGCAAGTAAGTTTGCGAGAGATCAGGCAACGACAACGACAAGTACCAGCAGCAGCAGCAGTAGAAGGAGAATAGCGGGGAGCAGGAGTGGTAGTAGTCGCGTCGTAGAAGCACCGGCGGAAGCAAAAGGAGTAGGATAGGAGTAACAGTAGTAGTAGGAGTAGTAGAAGGAGGAGTACGAGTACGAGCAGCAGCAGCCGTAATAGCGACAATGTCCACAGCAACAGCAGCAACAACAACAACAACAAGAGGAACTGTTTTGTTACCATGACAACCAGTCCTCCTCCTCCTGCTCCTCCTCCTCCTGCTGCTGCTGCGCTTGACTAGCATGGTTTTCCAATTGTGTGCCCCTCCTTCGTTCAGGCAGTCGCTGAAGCGACCGGTGCCTACGCGCGGGAGTAGCCTGCCCGACAGGGTTCGGCTTTTGCTAATTTCATCTTCATCATGAGTCGAAGTCGTCACCACAGTTCCCTCGGCAGCGCGCTGACGTTTGTCATCCAAATTGCCCGTTCATCGTTGCCGCTTTTGTCATTATGGTGGTCCTGGCCAGTCACGGGGTCAGCAGTCATCGTCTTAGTCATCAAACGACTGTCATCTCAATGTGCAGTTGCTGGGCCATCCCTGGTCTTGAGCCGCGTCTGTTAGGACCCTGTGATGATTTACGTGGAAACTTCAGCAGCCGTGTAGCTAGGGTTCAGAGATGCAACAACCTTCCAGCTCAGAGGCCGTTTCCTTTCAAGACTCCACCAAGACAAGAAGAAATCTCGTGACAGCTCGAGAGCTCAGGAACGAGATCCTCAGGGAGGAGCTGGCGGAGGTCAAGAAGGCCGCGACCAGGAGACGTTTTCGGTGGAAGGGTCACGGTATCGAAGCCGCAAGAAGCGGCTCATCAGACTAGACAAACGGCCACTGATAAATTCTTGAAAAATCACAAAGAGCCTACGCCATCCTGCCAGGTCATGATCACAATGGTCCCGGTGCACAGCATTCCAGTGCCGGAGGATGATGACCTAGAGCTGGAATCCGTGGTACCTTCGGAGCGCGCCGTTTCTTGGGCTTGGAGTGAATTGAAAAGGATGTTCGGCTTCGATAGAAGGTTGAACATGGAGATGAGAAAGGTTGCGCCGAAGGTCTAAACAGTGAGCCCCGCTGTCAGTGCTGAGGAAGGGCCAGTCAACACTGGCACCCGGGACAAGTGCTTTGGTAAAAACTGGTGACATGCAAGTGCTTCTTTTGCAGGGAAAACGATTGAAATCTCGACCGGGCACTTGCTGAGAAGTCATGGGTGGCATGATCGGAGACAGTGTTTGTGTTGTCTAAGTGTGTCGCAAGCTTTGGTCCTTTCCCCACAGCATGAAGAGACTCGCTGATTGGAGTATCTGTTGCAGAATTTCAAGCACCGAAGACCCGCAGGCACAATGACGGCGTATGGGATATGTGTAACGGCATCGAGATCAGTTTCCCTAACTTCAACAGACTTGGGAGACGATGAAAGAGGAGTCAACACGAATGGGAGATGATTGAGATGATGGTGTAGTGTTGCAAGAATGACCACAACAGTCTAGCGGAACAGACACAAAGAACCCATGAGAACCGCAGAATCGCGCCTCTGATCACTACAGGAGCCCCTTTTCGCATGAATCGTACCACTGAGGAGCATGTCGTGTTCCAGCTCCGTGCTGTCCTGCCACTCGGTCACGGTCCCGTAAGGTGCTAAGATTAAGTTCAGGGTTTAGAGTCTAGGGTCGAGGTCAGGTTTGGCGACTCAAACCAGCTTCAAAAGGGAGATGGGTTGCTGTATTGCTAGCCGCTTCCGCTACGGGGACCGCCTCGATGGAAGGGCCAAAGAATCGGGGCACGCATGGGGTTCTTCCGATGGGGTAAGCACCCCCTAGCCCGAATGATGCAGACGGAGACAGATCCGGCGCCATCAGTTCCGACCCTCGTATGCCGAGGTTGTGTACCTGTATCTCTCAATGACTCGTCGGACCTGGAGTGGCCTGAGCCGCTGATGGACGAGTTCGCGACCTTGATGGAACTTCTGCTAGGGCCTAGGGCTTTGGGGGGTTTAGGGCAATGTGAGCCAGGGTTTCTTGAACTCGTGGCGTGTCTGTTTCCCAGCTGAGATATATATTCTGGATTCGCAAAGCAAGGGGCAGGGTTAAAGTTTGAAGCTCGGCATTCTTGCTGTACCATAGTACGCGGCAAGATCCCATTTCTGGTCTAACCACTAGCTAGTGGGTTTCGGTTCGGTTAGATTGTCGTTTGATTAAACTTGTCGGGCAGATTGTCAAGTTGGAACATGAAAGTTTCATTGCAATGTGCAGTTTTGGTTGGAGAGCGAAGGCTCCCCCGCTCCCCTGTTCAAGGGCATAAGCCCTGAATCCACACATCCCTCTAGTCCGATCCCGAAGCCCTCATCAGACCTTCATCCTAATATAATATAGTATACAATAATATAATAAAATAAAATATAATAATAATCCACTATAATAGAATAGAATATAAGGTAATACCTCATCCGGCGACTTTGTGAGTTCTGGACCCCGGTTCGTCTTCGGCGACTCAGGAAATGCTGAGCCTGCGCCAGGGCAACCCAAAGCCCCTCGTCAAATGCCAGGGAGTCCAGGGAGTGTCGGGTGTCAGGGCAAAAAAGCGCGACGAATAGCGAACCTCAAACGTCAAACCATGTCTCCACACCATGTTCCCTAAACTCGATTGGGCAGGAGCTGAAGTCCAGGGCCCTGAATGAAGCAACTTTAGTAACTTTAGTCTTGCCGTCAGGTGTATCGCTGCATGCATACATGAGCAGATGCGCACATGCATCCATCTGTACCATCCCATCCCCCATCAGCCCAGCCATCCGCCGATCCACCCATGCATGCATGCATGCACGCATGCATGCCGGCGTACATATGTGTATACATTCATACGCGCATACATGCACACATGCACGAAGACGAGCGTCCATACTTGCAGATGCGAGTCTGCGTGTATGTATACATACAACTGTACATTTATTTATGTATGTACGGCAAAATGTATGCAATTCTATGCAAAAATGTCGTACACACACACAGAGAGACATGTGTACAGCTTCTTTGTCCACCGAGCATCCGCACTAACACATGCTGCGGCTAGTAGCCCAGGGTGTGAAGGGCTGGCGGGCTCTTCTCACTGCATTGGCCAGGTTAAGGTTGCTGCTTCGGGCCGAACCACAGGCAGCATAGCTAGTACTTGTCGTCACCAGTATCGTCTTCTTCGTCATCGCGGAATGGCCGAAAGCATAACACTGACAGTGACCATCACCAGGCACCGTAAGACCAATGACGCCCCAAAAACTGTCGTTGTCATAACCGCAATTGTCAGAACATCATTACTCGCAGCATCGCGCAGCCTTTACAGGAGCATCCAGAAAACCATGGTGCAGTAGGTAGAACTTCAGAGACTGCCATGATTCCATGATAGCCAATGATAGCAGATATGTAAGTCACAAGCCCCGAACCACAGAAAAACCGCCGAACCCACAGCTGCTCAAAAAGCAGACGTATAACCCTAAATGCCCGAGCTCGCTCCATCAGCAAACGCATTCACCCGACCCGAAGCCAACAACCACAACACCGTGGTACCAGCAAAGAAGCAAAACAACACCGACACCACAGGCTGGCCCCTCCACGCTCTTGGCTCCCGCACCTGGAAACCTCCCCGAGTGAGTCGGATCAGGAGCTCTTCAAAGAAGTTTGGAGTTTTTGGAGTGCTAGGGTCCGGTGCCTTCACAGGGTTTGGGTGTAAATTAATTACCCTCTGGTCATGAAAATAACCAAGGAATATCAATACGATTTATGCGGAACCCCATAGTAGGGGTCTTTGTGATTGGATTTTACGGTTGCATGCTGCTCCAAGTGACACCGTCTTTTTGGTATTGATGTTGAGTTCCTGGCGTGCGCATTCTGGCCATGGATTTAACATAGGAGATACAGCTATACCCCAAAGCCCGGGTGTTGTTTTCTATGCCCGTTCATGCATCTCCGGATGCAAAGACAAGTGCATAAGAACGGTGACGCATCCAAATGTGTTTAGGGTGAGGTCGGTGAAGATAGTGGACATTGGCTGGTCCAGCTTGCCCAAATCTGCGTCGTCCATCACCTACAGAGCGAGAGAAGGAGTGTGCGTGAGTGTGAGAGTGATGGAGAGTGAGGGCAAGCGTATATATATATATGTGTGTGCGCGCGTGTGCGTGTGTGTGTGTGTACATACGTGCAAGCTTTCTTCAGCTTTCGGGGCTTTCTTTCGCCTACAGCAAAGCGTTCAAGGCGCTAAGCCCAGCGCGGGCTCGGGTGCCATCGCTGGCTGCAGCCGCTCTGCGGCTGCTGCTTGCCAGGTGACGGATGATCCCAAAACAGTGTCGATTTGGTTGTGGGGGAGGGGCTTGGGAGGCAAGGAGGGCTTTGAGGAGTGTCCACAACCCTAACCTCCGCTCCAAACTTTCCATGCCGCCATCTGGAACCTTGAAAAGAAGTTTCTCTCCATGTTCGTCAGGTGGGAATCTCCTTTGCAGTCCTTCCTGTACCCGCATCTCAGCTTAGAACAGACTTTCCTGCAGGTGTAGTTATAGAGCTTGAGAACAGGTTCAGTCAAGCTGAGCATGCAGTGCTCATAGAGCTTGTGGAGCCAGGCGCAGAAGAAGTACATGGAAATACCACACCTTTAAGCACTGAGTGAGTTCAGGCTTGAGAATGGCTTGAGGGTTCCGGGGTAGGCATTCTCGACCACCATTACCGTGCGCGAATACTCCCAACGCCCAGCCAGATGTGGGTGTTGTCAGCTTTGGATGCAACCGAAACGACCCAAAACTCTGTAAACCTTGAGCCCGTCCCGAACCTCGAGATACCCGCATGCAGAAAAAGACTTGAAAAGCGAACCCGAGGGACTCTGAGCTGAGATGATGCGAGTGCTCACTTCAAACATCACCCGGCCCCAGCGTGGAGCCGGGACTTTAGCATCCTTGCCCCCAAGCCCACGGCTAAGAACTATCATTTCAGCAAGCGGCGAAATAGGTCATGCTCATCGCCGAGATTGTAATAATCGCAGCAATCAGAAACAAAAAGTGAGCATAGTGCCACTGCTCGTCGCAATGACATGACCTATTATAAAGCAAGCTTACGAGTCCTCAGAGTGCATCGGCTTAATATCAGCAAGGTCCCAGACGGCTCGGGTTTGCTTGGCTGCTCGGCCGCCCGCACGCCGGTGCCTTCTCGATGCAGCGCTTGTGGAGCTCATTGTGGAGGAGAAGACTCGAATATATTTTTCATGGTTTCTTACATCTATATCTATCTATATATATATATATATATTTTTTTTTAGGTGTTTAGAGGTGAGCTTAGGGTGGATATGATGGTTTGGATTGCTGCCAGAACCTCTAAAACCCCAGAGAAGGCGATGGAACATCATCGCAACCGCACCTTGAACCGTTTCAGGGGGGTATGAGCGCCATAGACTCCCAAAAGTGGGCCTCCTGCGCCTTTAGGAAGCTGCACAAGTGTAGGCCAGGGCGTCAAAAAGGTTGTTCAGGGGCTTGATGGGGAGCTATCCGGGTCCTATAGGCTACTAGAAGAGATCTGTGACTTTATGACGGCTCGACGGCGCTCTTTCCGGGTCCTATAGGGGTTTTATTTGGCTTTTGGGGTTTCCTTCTGGCCCTGGACCCTGCCTGAAGCCTCGCCTCGGACCTGGCTGAGAACTCTCAGACTCGCAGCTGCACAAGGAAACTACTCACACCTACAGGATGCTACATGTCCTTCTTGTGGCGCGTGATAGTACGTAGACGACGCAGTCACAGAACTCGTACTCAGGGCAATGATCTAGGAAGAAGAATGATGAAACCATGCTTCTCAAATGGAGGCATCCCGTCGAAAGAAAGATAGTCCCTGTAAAACTACACTGCAATATACCCCACGCCCCATTCTAAGAGTTAAGGCCCCCATACTACATATCACATACCTCCTACAACTGGAGCATGCTATTCTGGACGGACCGGGTCGGCGATTAAGACTTCGACCCCCATGGAATGTAGGCAGAGTCTAGGACAGAGACGCTGGGAGTTTCAGAATGTCTTGGGATGGTGTAAATGACAGTCCAAACGAGAAGATCCGTAATATAAGGACACCTAGACTATACCCCGATACTTTGGAAAATCCCGTATTGCTGCGGGACTAAGCGTCGAGGGTGAGTTCGGGGCTTTGCAAGGTCTTCGTGCCGTAACTAACCCCTACATCCCGGGCCCTGCTTGGAGGATCTTGGGACTTAGTAAGTGGGGTATAGGCACGTCAAAGGGGGTGATAAGTAGACATGATTAAACTACGTATGTCTACTCTACTTATAAACTTATATGTCCATACCTACTAAGTCCCCTGAACCTCCAAGTGAGCCTAGAGCACAAGTGGAAGGTTGAGCACAAAGTGCTTGAACGAGCTTCCGGGAACTTTGCCAGTGCTGAGTTTGGCCTTTGGAGTCGGGTTGAAGTTCGATTGGCAATGAAGGGACGCGGGGGGGTGAAGAACCAGCACTCATCCTCCTCTATAGTCCCGGTATATCCGCAGAATCGCCGTATTCGGGTCACTGAGGCAGGAAGTAGGGTATCCTCGCAATTCGGACACGGGCGCATACACTGAAGACGGATCGAATGCCATGATCGTCATGCAGGGGCCTGAAAGATGAGATTAGTGAAAGTATTGAGAACTAGTGCTTTAGGTTTTCTTCGAAACTATAGATGAATATAGCAACGAAGAATGTAAGGAAAAGGGTGCAGCTAGGGTTTTAGGCCTGTGCTATAAGTCTTGCTACAGAGTTATGTTTCATGAGCACTGTTAAACCGGGCCCATAGCACTGCTGAAACACCGCAGCCTTTGCCTACCTCGGTCAGGAGGGCACCGCAGAGGATGTGTTGGCATACTTCTTGATTCCCGGATAAACTGTCTTTGCTGAGTGTTTCGTTGTTGGCATGGAGATGTGTGGTTTGGGTAGCCCGGTTGTTCTCGATTCCGAGTTTCAGAATTCAAGGACTTCGGAAGGTTGATTGGGGAACATGTGTCACGCAGAAACCTGGCATGAGGAACTCTCGACAAAAGAGTTTCGCCCTGTGCTCAGGAATGCAACGCAAAACTACAAGGGTCTGTCACAGCTGGTTCGCACGACCGACCGGCCGAGCGAATGCGTGTCTGACTGGCCAATGGTTAGAGCCCACCGCTGATCCTTGTCCGCATGCAGTTCTGCCCCAGCTGTCCTCCGCTTTTGTAAGGGGAAGCCAAAGTTGAATACAAACTTCTTACCATGGAGCTGTAGAGTCAGCAGAACCATAATCTTCCTATGGGCCAATAGGCAGAAATTCGTGAAGCTCGACCTGTCTCCGTCCTTGTCAGCCTGAATCTTCGCTGCAAGGCCTGGTCAAGACCGTCAGCAGCAGATTCCATCGAAGCCCAAGGCTCGTTGTACAGTTTTTACGGCATCTGATCACGAGCCTTGGCTGCTTTGGACAGGGTTTGATTCCAGTTCCCGGGACGATGAGTGTCACCACCCTTCTTCTCCTCATCATCGCCTGTTTTTTGTCAGGTACCTCGTCGCTACTGCCACTACCACCTCTAGCAAGAGCGGAATCATCGTGACTATCGGGTTCTGCAGGCCCACTGTCGCTGTGACCGCCACCCTGTCTGACACCATCTTCGACACCACCGGCAACAACATTTAAATTTCCTTCTTCCTTCAGCATGATCATCAGCTGCATAAGCCTTCCCACTGCCATCACAACTTGTTTTGCAGGCTCATGTAACCAGCTCACACATGCATGCAACGTTTCCGGTCAACATCGCACTGTCCCCGTTGCCGTCAGCTTTCTTTGTTTGTTTTGTCACCTGCTACGTCATGATCAGCAGCAGCAGCAGCAGCAGCAGCGATGCTTGAATGAGTAGGCGGCCCGTCATCGTATTCGTGATGCTGAAGGGGTCCGCCCCGACTCAGGACCTGCTGGCATGAGCAGCTGGAGGCATCTCTGGCAGAGTTAGCGGCGGGTGGTTCTGTCCTGTTGCTTATTGCAAAGACTGGAGGGTTTAAAGGGGCAGTGACCTGCTACGAGGGTGTCGGGTTGATGGATTCATCCTTACAGTCTTACAGGAGCTACAGGTAGAGATTTGCCCCCGCCTCCCTGCATGCCGGCGGATGACAGCAACATCATCATCAACAACACCACCACCGCCAACAACAACAACAACAGCAACAGCAACAGCAACAACAGCAACAGCGGCAGCAACCGCGAGCAGCTTGCAAAGAATGGGCAGACTGATAATCAAATTCGTTGGAGGCTCTTAAGCCAACTTGCCACAGCAAGCCGTCCGGTATCAATCAGGGATGGGCCACGGGAAGATCCTTCAGCTTCTCAGGGTATTCGTAAGTTCCGGTCACGATTCAACTCTACAGCCCTAATGTAGCTTTCCTCGGGAGCGGGTTCATTGTTGCAGATAAAGCATTACCCAATGAGCCGGGGGGCACCTGGCCGGCAGAACTTGGGGTGTGGAGGTGGTGGCAGCTCCAAGTCAGCTTAGCATCGAAGGCAAACCCTGATGTGGACCAGCATGACTTGTGTTTCGGGGTTTTGTCGGAACAGGGAGCCCTGCACAGCTCGCCTGCAACATGTCCACGCACCTTGAAGTCGTGCTCATGAGCGGCAGGCGAGTGCAGCTGGAGTTGGCTGAAGATGCACGCCTCGATAGCTTGCTGCAGTGCGCACAAACCGAGCTGGCTGTTCGGGGACGGTTCAGCGTGCTGAGTGCTGCAGGCAAGAGGCTGAACACTCGGCTCACGCTTGGCGAACTTGGCTTGGAGGACGGAGAGGTGTTGACTTTGCACACCCGCCCGCTCCGATTAGCGGCAACTTGTGGTGCCTTCGCTGCTTTGCTGGGTGACGGCTCGGTAGCAACCTGGGGTGCCAATCGAGGGGATTGCAGCCTCGTTCAACAGCAGCTGATTTGCGTGCGGGACATCCAAGCCAGCTCAGGCGCTTTTGCCGCGATCACGGACACTGGATCCGTAGTTGCCTGGGGTGCTTCAAAATACGGTGGGGACAGCAGTGCCGTGCAAGATCGACTGCAGAATGTACAACATGTGCAAGCAAGCCATCGTGCTTTTGCTGCTATCTTGGACGATGGTTCTGTCGTTACATGGGGCGATTCCTGCCACGGCGGTGACAGCTCAGCAGTCCAGCAGCAACTACAGGACGTGCAGCGTATCCAGGCAACTCATTCTGCGTTTGCCGTCATCCTGAAGGACGGATCAGTTGTGACGTGGGGAAGCGACGCTTTCGGTGGCGACAGCCATTCTGTTCAAGAGCGGTTGGTGCACGTACAGCAGATCCAAGCAAGCGAGGGTGCATTCGCAGCAATCTCGCATGATGGATCCGTGGTGACTTGGGGTGCTGCCAATTATGGCAGTGATAGCAGCAAGGTCAGTGGGCAATTGCGGAATGTAAGACAAGTCCAAACAAATGGTCGCGCGTTTGCTGCCATTCTTGCAAACGGGTCTGTGGTGACCTGGGGTGATGCCGAACATGGTGGCGACAGCAGCTCCGTCCAGGACCAGCTGCAGAACGTAGAGCAGGTTCAAGCTAGCAATTCAGCTTTTGCGGCCATCCTCAGCAATCGCTCAGTGGTGACATGGGGCGCGTGCCTTGGAAATCGCAGCAGCCCGAACCATGAGCTGCTCAGAAATGTACGAGCTATTCAATCGACTCGTTTTGCTTTTGCTGCCATCCTGGATGATGGGAGTGTGGAGACCTGGGGTACTGCCAGCTATGGAGGCGATAGCTCTCAAGTGCAGGCACAGCTGAAAGATGTGTGGCATATACAGTCTAACAGGCTCGCGTTCGCGGCCATCTTGCGTGACGGATCGGTAGTCACCTGGGGTGTTTCACAGTGCGGCGGTGACAGTCGTCCTGTCCAAGACCAGCTCAGAAATGTGCAGGAGATCCATGCAACCGACTCTGCTTTTGCTGCTGTCCTGGAAGACGGATCTATTGTGACATGGGGCGCTTCAGCCCAGGGCGGCAAAAAAGACGCGCTCACCGGTGTGAATCGAAAGTTGGAATTGAGCTCCGATGGGCTCTCGCACAGACAATCAAGAACTGCCGTACCGCCTTTTAGGAGGGAAGGTCTCCAGTGACTTAAATGTTTCACCACCGTTCACAGACCAAGGTGAAGAGGGCTGCCTTCTCCGTGCTGCAGACCATCGCTGGCACTGGCGGACGCTCATTTCTCAAAGTCGGTGCGAAGTTCAGTTGAAACATATAGAAGCAGACGTTTATCACTGCATGGTCTGCAAATCCGTGATAACTTGTTCTTTCGGGTTTTCTTGCCCTTCGCCTTGGAAGCCTGAGTGTTCTACCGTGTTCAACTTTATGCATACTACTATTATTCTTCGAGTTTCTTTCACATGAACAGCATGAGCTCCGTTCTTCACGTCTGCAAATCAGTGACACCTTAGACTTGTTCTTTCGGGTTTTCTTGCCCTTCGCCTTCTACCGTGTTCAACTTTATGCTTCGAGTTTCTTTCACGTGAACAGCATGAGCTCCGTTCTTCACGCCTTTAGCCATGCAGCAACTGGACTCTGGACTGCACCGTCGAAGCTTGCAAAGCGATCTGCACGTGCACAGCGAGAAATGCAGAGAGAGAGAGAGAGAGCTTCTGGCTCCCGAGCCCTTCGGACTCGTGAAGCTCTCACAAGATCCGGCAGAAGCGCTAAACTCCTTGTTCTCTGCAGGAGAAGCTTTGGGGCTCCCTGGCTCATCGTGGAGTTGGGCTGACTAGCCCTAGACCCTAAGCCCTAAACCCAAAAACCTTAAACCCTAAACCCTAGGCAAAAAAGCGAGTGGGAAAAACAAGCCTTAAACTTTAAACCTCAGACCCTCAACTTAGGGCTGGGGAGTGTTGTGTCTCAGTGTCACTGGCCTGCTGCAGTGGATGCTTTATGATCGGTCAGGAACGCCTGTACGGGACCAACAACCTTACCTCTAGCAAGCATCCATTCTACAGCCGAGGCAGCTCGTCGCGAAGTCGATGTTGCCTTTCTTAGATGCGCGCCGATGCTTGGCTGCAGTGGTCCATGACCTCGCTTTCGGATTTCATTTCCTTTACCAGAAACAGCAGAAGTCGCCGAAGTGAAAGCCAGATGTTCTCTTTCCACACGCCTGTGGTCACAGTTTAATTGCTGACCTATCTGTTTACCATAAGCAGCACTGCCGTATGCAGGGGAAGCGTGTCTTATGCAATTTGAGTCCGACATGGCTTTGGGGTGCCTGATGTTGAACATGACCACAGGAAGCGTGCAGAATCGCAGTTTCGCCTTGGACGAGCCTTGACGGCAATGTTGACAGGCCTGGTTGTGGTTTGTTTCTGCTCAGAACATGGCTTCGGGCCTGGATGGTTCAACCAAACGGATTGCTAAAGTTGTGTGCGCAGGTGTTTGTCTTCGTTTACTACTGCGGCAGAAGCCCGCGCAGTAGTCTTGAGACTGCCACGCCTCTCCCGAATTCCCTTCCAGTCGCTCACGAGCCTGTCGGCCTTGGAACTTCGACCCCCAGACGTACAGCACCAGTGTCCAAGCCCCTCGAGCGGCTTAATGCCCCGCCAGGCCATGAAGCAGCCCTCTTGCTTTTAGGCCGCGTGTGGAAATGCTGAGTCCGCGAGGTCAGCACCGCAAGCACGAGTTGATAAGGATGAACGAATACTTAGCCACGCCTTGCATCCTTTTCAATAGCCCGAGACATGTGAGCCTGGACCCCAGGTCCTGGGCCACTGCGCTTTGAGCTCCATGGCCTCCGGTGCTTTTGGCGAACGTTTGACCACTGCTCTTTTGGGCGCTGCGCGGTGGCCGGAGGCGATTCTGGAGGGTCCAGCTGTGGTGTGTCTCTGTCTGTCTCTGTGTCTGTGTGTGTGTGTGTGGTTTCGGGTTCCTGGGTCTGGACCTGATGGCTTCGAATTTCTGGAGGGAGCTTTCCTGCGGATTTACGGGTTTGTCGCAGTCGAGGTTGAGTGAGTTGAGTGCCTCAGGCCTTTGGGTGGGCAAATGCACAGTAATAAAGTAGTGCCGCTGTGTAATGAGTGAGAAATCGTTTGATGATTGTGATGTGAGTAGGATAATGGAAATCTTGAGCTGACTGAACTCCTTACCCAAAATATAAGCCACAGGAACGACTGAGCACGCGGGCGGTGGAGATTCTGCAGCTGCCCGGACGAGACAACGAAGCTTGAAAGGCTTCAGGTGAAATGCCTGGAATTCCGCATTTGAGGACTTAATCATAATCCTAAACCCTAAACCATCGTCCTTAGCCATGCGAGAGGGAAAAAACCCTCGTCTTAGTTAAGTGGGAGGGAAAAAAACCCAAAGCCTCAACCCTAAACCCCAAACCTGGCATGTCCTGGCTATGTGAGAGGGAAAACAACCCTAGGTTCGGGAGAGCTGCTCCCCAA